TAATATTAAAACATGCAATAGAAAGAGGAGGGGAACCGGGAAGGAGGGGATAGAGAAGGGTAGAGGACTGCACGGAACAAAAACATGTGCTCCCTACCCCCTTCGCTCCGACCTCGCTCCAGAGGCTCCCGTGGATGTTGCGATGCTTTCGATATTCAGGGAAACAGGGCGGCCGACTGGCACGCAGGTCAGGCCACACGTGTGCATGTCCTTCATCCAGACGAAGCCTCCGTGTATGAGGACGCTCTCCAGAATTATCAGGAGCTAACGGTCGCAGTCGGCAAGATCTTAGGCACATGGCCGCCTGCCAAAGAGATGTGGCCAAACATCCAAAAAGGAACCACCTGAGCGTGCTCCGCGTACATTCGTCGCGGAGCTCGAGCCCGCGTGGTCAGGGTCTTCTTTTCGTTGCATGTATACCTTAAAGTGGTGAGCACCCGATCAATAGGCTCCTGCAAGCCAGTGCCAAGTTCAGAGAGATAAAGCCTCAGCCAGAGACTTTCAACACACCATGCAATACTGTATGATTGCAGGCAGCAGCCTCCCTGTAACTATCTGCTGCTCGTGCGAAGGTTTCACCAGTGGGAAACGCTACCAGAAGCTTGCGGAAACATGCTCGCGCAAGCATTCTTCTGCGCTCCGAAAACTGCTCAAAGGCGAACTCCCTGGATCTGGAAGGCTCCGACTCAACCCTCCCATCCAGGTCGAGTTTCAAAATGAGCTGGATGCGTTTCCGGAAACACACTTGCGCACGATTTGTTAAGACAATCGTCTCGCACGATTTGTTAACACCACTCTCGGTCCAAATAGGCCGTGACGTTGTCAGGCGGGAGGTCCGGACCAAAGGCTTACCGCACAAGGCCGACCAGAAGATTTATCAATCCAAGATCGTGCCGCAGTGTAGGCCCAGAGCTATACGAAGCCTCCTTCCCCCTTTCTTCTTCAGTATTCCCCCTCTTCCTTCCTTGCCTGTCCTCTGCATGAGGTGTGGTGCACCATCGCAGCAAGGCTGTAGAGGTGGTTGGGGTGATGATTGGGGGGGGGGGCGGAAACTACCGGCCAGAGGCCGATTCCTATCGAGACGCCTCTGTCAGAATGAATCAAAGCTCGTGAATCAGGCCCCGGTACATAGACGAAGTATGGGTTGCGAGTTAAGCGGTCGCACGAAGGCAACCCTCATGCGGCCTCCCTCGTGTGATCGACCCTGAGCGCCATTACCCATTCGATGCAACTGTTGACAGCACAAGTCTGCCGAGTTCAGGTGTCTAAGGGGGGGTCCTCCTCCGCCTCCTCCTCCTCCTCCTCCTCCTATTCCTCCTCCCTCCTCCAACCTCTTGTTCGGGCACGACTGAAGACTCTTTAGACGGTTGCCTTCCAAGGAGGCATTTCCAGCAATGACAATATTTTCTTGTAGGGGCCTCTGAAGAAACGTGTATGGAGGGCTTATCGCAACATCGTTGATGCGGGTTGGGTTTACACTGGCCCGCCTCCTCCTCCTGATCCTGCTCCTCCTCCCATTCTTCTCCTCCTGCTTCAGCTCCAGCTACTCTTCCTTCTCAGCATCATCCTCCTCCTCATCCTCCTCCTCTTCCTCCCACCCATCACCATCACCACCACCACCATCATCACATCATCCTCACCATCATCACCACCACCACCACCATCACCATCACCATCACCATCATCATCATCATCATCATCATCATCATCATCATCATCATCATCATCATCATCATCATAATCATCATCATCATCATCATCATCATCATCAGCATCATCATCATCATCATCATCATCATCATCATCATCATCGTCGTCGTCGTCGTCGTCGTCGTCAGCATCAGCACCATCAGCAGCAGCATAATCACCAGCATAGTCATCATCATCAGCAGCAGCAGCATCATCATCATCATCAGCATCAGCATCATCATCATCATCATCATCATCATCATCATCATCATCATCATCATCGTCAGCGTCATCATCATCAGCAGCATCAGCATCATCAGCAGCACCAGCATCAGCATCATCATCATCATTTTCATCATAGTCGTCATCTTCATGATCATGCTGATGATCATCATCATCATCATCATCATCAGCACCAGCTACAGCATCAAAACCATCATCATCACCCTCATCCTCATCATCACACACGTCATGACATCGTCAGCATCATCATCAGCATCAGTACCATCATCACCATCATCAGCAGCAGCATCAGCAGCATCATCATCATCAGCATCATCACCAGCACCATCATCATTAGCAGCATCACCATCATCATCATCATCATCACCATCGTCATCATCATCATAATCATCATCATCATCATCATCATCATCATCATCATCATCATCATCATCATCGTCAGCATGATGATCATCATCACCATCATCATCGTCATGTTCACCACCACCGCCATAACCATCACCATCACCATCAACAACACCACCATCAGCATCAGCAGCAGAATCATCACCACAATGACCATCATCATCGCAACCATCATCAACATGCTCATCATCAACACCATCATCATTCTCGTCAGCACCATCACGAACATAATCACTCTCACCCTCACCCTCACCTGCACCAGTTCCAGCACCACCACCGTCATCATCATCCTCATCATCAGCAGCATCATCATCATCACCATTGCAATCATCATCAGCATCAGTATCATCATCATCCTCATCCTCATCCTCATCCTCATCATCAACATCATCATCATCATCATCATCAGCATCAATATCATCATCATCATCATCACCATCGTCATCACCATCACCAGCACCATCGTCGTCGGCGTCATAGTCTTGCTCTTCCTCCTCCTCCTCCTCCTCCTCCTCCTCCTCCTCCTCTTGCTCCAAATGCCTCCTCCTCCTCCTCCAATTTCGCCTCGTTCTCCTCAACCTCCATCGTCCTCGGTGTCCTTCGCCTCCTTCACCCCTTTATATCATGAATAACTCCTCCCTGTCGCACCCCTAACAGAGTCGTAGGCCGGGCCAGCGCTTCGCCTGAGACTTCCCCACCTGTTGCAATCCGGCCGCCTAGAGCTCGCAGCCGCTTCGCGGATGGAGGGCGGATCGTGTTCAACGTGTGGCTCTCGCCTGGGCGCCGCGCACATTTGTCTCACACGGTTGCACAAGTTTCAGGGATGGAGGGCGGACCATTTTCAAAACATGGCTCTCGCCTCAGGGCCGCGCGCATCCGTCTCAAGCCCTTCACGGGTGGAAGGCGGGTCGCTTTCAAAATGTGGCTCCCGCCCTGGCGCCGCGCACTCTCGTCGCATGAATTTGCAAGACGTTCACCGGTGGAGGGGGGGTGTATCCAAAATGTGGCTCTCGCTTCAGCGCTGCGCACATTTGTCTTGAGCGTGTGCATGGGCTTCACGGATGGAGGGCGGGTCGTTTTCAACATGTGGTTCCCGCCTTGGTGCCGCGCACATTCGTAGGGCTTCACGGATGGAAAGAAGGACGTTTCCAAAATGCGGTTATCGCCTTGGCGCCGCGCACAATCATAAAAATTCGCAACGGGTCCACGGGTGGAGAACGGTTTGCTTTTAGCATGTGGTTCTCGCCTTCGCCCCGTGCACATTCGTCTGGAAGTTTGCAAAAGCTTCTCGGACGGAAGGCATGCCATTCTGAAAAAAAATGTATCGGCCTAGCGCCGCGAGCATCCGCCTGGAAACCCTGCAGAGACTTACGGATAGTAAGCGGGTCGTTTGTGGCTCTCGCCTGAAAGAGTCGCGTGCGTTCGTTTACATCATATTCAAGGGATGCACGGATTGAGGGCAGTTCGTGTTCAAAAAGAGGTGCTCGCCTTCGCGCCGCACGCATTCGCCTTACAATCGTGCAACAGCTTCGCGGATAGAGGGTGGGCCGATTTCAAACTATTGATCTCGCCTTGGCGCCGCGCACACTGGTCTTACACATGCACAACGTTTTTGAGACGTCTTTAATATGCTTCTAGCGCCATCACACCGCGCACATTCGTGCTAACGTGTGCAAGATACTCACGGATGGAAGGCCACCAATGCTCAACATAACCGTCACACAACTACAA